CATGTAGATTTGACGAACTCGGAGATTTATCAAGGATAAATAAAATGACTTGATAAAAGTAAAATTATGCAAATTTAGTTTTTTTATTATATATATATATATATATATATATATATATATATATATATATCGGTTCATATATAGTAATGTATTTTTATATTTAGAAGGAAAAAAATTTATATAGCAACTGGTATTTCAAGAAATGTATACTCTGTTTTGTTTCGATAATTAACGATAATTAATTTGTATTCCGATGAAATAATTCAACAAAATTTTATGAAATCTCAAAAGAATTTATGTTTTGAATATAATAAATAAAACAATGTCACACTTGTGCATTGGTTGTTAGCATGTTCACATTTGGGGTAATTGGGTAAGCCTGAGTATCAGTCTATTTGGTCTAGAACCGGGTCAAATTAATTTAGGATTGGATAAAAAAAATAAAGGAAAGTGGAATCGGAATCTGATAAAAAAACGAGTTTGATTTATTTGGTTTGATTCGGTCAATTTCTTCTTCATACTTAAAATAAACCGTAGAACCAAAACTGAACTAAAATATATTCGATTCCGATTCAATCCAAATATTGATTCGATACGATTCAGTCGGGTAAATGTAGGAAATATCTACAAACTTTGAGTATGGAAACCCCCCAAAATTATATTTTTCCATAAAGTGAGAGGATACAAAATGTTATTACCGATAGTGATCTATTAATTAACAACGAGAACTTGAGCAAGATCCGATAAATGTACCATCAACGGTAGAAAAATGTCAATATAGTCAGGGGTGGGCATCGATCGGTCCGGGCCGAATCGGACCAAACTCAAGAGAACCGCGGTCCAATAGTGAAAGATATGTTAGGACCAAGGACCGAACCAATAGTGCATTCGGTCCGTTTAGATCCGGTCCAAATATAAATTTGGTCTATTTTTCTTCAATATTTTTAAAATTCATAGGATCAATGACCGGATCATATTATATTCGATTCATTTGATTCGGTGTGGTCCGCCAAATATCGATTCGGTCCGATATGGACCAACCCATTGAATATAGATATGTTTCAGTTTTAGACAGCCAATAGTGGTAATTATCCGTCGATTAAGAAGCTTTTCTATCAAGCTTCATTAAAATTGAATGTCTCAACTTATTTACATCAACTAATTTACAGGGCATTATGTTCTTTCATTGAGACAGTTTCCCCACCCATCGACAGCTTCACAGTATCCAAATCTCGGAAGAATCACCACAGGAAACCTTCTCCTTCATCTCCATCTCAATCTCCATCATCACCTTATCCTTCCACTCCAACAGCTTCCTACTAAGCGCAAGCTCTTCCTCCTTATACCTCAACTTCATCTTCCAATGCTCCACCTCCACATCCCTCTCTTCACTCACCTTCCTCTCCTCCACTTCCCTCAACCTCAACTTCCACACCCCAACCTCCTTCTCCTTCTCCTCCACCATCTTGCTCCTCCTCTCCGCCGCCTTCCTCCACGCGTTCGCCTCCTCCTCCGCCTTCATCGTCTTCAACCTGCATTCCCTCGCCTCCCTCTCCTTCCCCTCCACCTCCGCTTCCAGCTCCTCAACCCTCCTCTTCCTCCTCTCCAACCCCTTCTCATACCTCGACCTCAACTCCGCCGCGTAGTCCCTCTTCTCCTTCTCCATCTCCTCCACAACTTCCTCCACCTCCTTCGCCGCTCTGTTCGCCCTGTCCAGACGCCTGGACAGGGCACCGAGCTCGCCTCGTGCCTCGACCAGCTCGGACTTGTTCGACGCGAGCTCCTTTGCCGTGTCCTCCAAGTTTCTACGCAGCTCCGAAACCGTGTTGTCCTTGTCCTCCAGTTGTGAGGTGAGGAACTCCAGCTGCCTCTCCTTGGCTGTCCTGACGCCGTGCTTGGACCAGTCGAAGACGGTGTTGATTCGGATGCCCGAGGAGTCCCCAGCTCGGTAGTCGAGGACGAAGCAGGATCCCTCGCAGTTGACGCGGAGGCTGCATCGCGTCCTGTCGTTCCAGGCTCGGAGGTCCCTGCTGAGCTCCGTGAGCTTTTCGCCGCGGAAGGTGGTCCCCGAGACTTCGAGCTCCTTCACCTTCTCGGATTCGCCGATGACGACCAAGTTGCCAGGCTCCCAGCGATCGCCCGCGTGCTTGTTCACGAAGATTCGGTTGTCCGTCGGGGTTCCCCAGTTGGACGTTATGAAGAAGTCTGCCGCGTTGAGATTGAACACGCTCATCCCTATGAACAAAATGTAGACATGATTAGGAAATGAATGACATGATATATGATTAAGAGATTGCAGCACCTGCAATTGAAGCTACATGCCTATATCGATCCGAAGCTTGTAAATTTTCTTGAATCAGTATATGTCGTACAATAGTTTTTGGCGGCTCCTTTAGTTTTAAATATGCAAGCTAAGATCAAGCATATAACATTCCTTGCAGAATAATCTTAAGCTAGGAATATAACATAAGTAGGTTACCTCTACTTTCCCTCTGCCTTGAGGCCAAACTTAGCCCACAAGGTAGCCCCAAACCAGCACCCTACTGAGAAAGCCTGCAAGTTACCACAATTGGCAATTATTAATTAATTAACAACGCAAGTATGAGGCACTGTTTCTCCCGAAATTTCCGTCCGCATGCCTCCGTGTTACTGTTCACCGAGGGAATTATTATTATGCGTTGGATCCATTAACAATTACCATTGCCCATTTTCTTTCTTGGCAACTTTATTTTCTTGGCAACTTTATTAGATCCATTATATGATTACGTTTGCCCAGTTCCTTTCTTGGCAATCATTTTAAACTTTTGGATGGTTATAAAATTCACTCTAATAATGTGGCGTTGTAGTCCCAGTAATTAGTCATGGTAATGGCACGATGTGGGTATCTCAATATAGATACTCATCAGTCATCACGTATTAAGCGTGGGTTAGGTCGAATAATACCCGCGCATGTATATGTGGGACGGGACAGATCAACCCCATTCTTATATGTTATTTGAAAAAATAATGTCGATACTAACTCTTTAAAAAGAAGGCATAGATAAAACACTTCATAAATTAATAAGAAATATAATATAAAAAATAATTGACTCCGAATAGTTGAAATATTAATTTTAAAATATCTTTGGGATGAAAATATTATTTTAGAAAGGTCAAAAGAGGAGACATACAGATACAAGTTAATTTTGATGTTAATCAAGTGTAATTTACAGATCAACCCCATTCTTATATGTTATTTGAAAAAATAATGTTGATACTAACTCTTTAAAAAGAAGGCATAGATAAAACACTTCATAAATTAATAAGAAATATAATATATGAAATAATTGACTCTGAATAGTTGAAATATTAATTTTAAAATATCTTTAGGTGAAAATATTATTTTAGAAAGGTCAAAAGAGGAGACATACAGATACATGTTAATTTTGATGTTAATCAAGTGTAATATTTTTCGTAACTTGATTTTACTATTAGACCACATATTACGGAAAATTTAAGTAACAACGTTTTATAATAGTTACATAAATTACAAATGCATTACATAAAATTTATCGAGGGATAGTTATTTCTTATGTATAGAGTACATACGTCTTCTCTAACAATTAAGACACTAAATAAAAATTATTGAAGTAATCATAATGATAATTAAGACCCGACATACAACTTATGGGATCTTATTTACACAATGTTCTGACAAATAAAAAATTAAGTAGATGAAGTCTGAAATATAATTAATTTCTAGCCGCTGCAAAGCGCGGGCCAAAAAACTAGTAAATTTTATTGTTCCTCAACTGCAATTCACAATCAGGTACGAGCCATTCACAAGGTACTTTCAAAGCATTGATGCGACAGGAAAATATTGTCAGCATATTCTTGAGCCTGAACAATGTGAATTGAAACCCTCAATGAATGCCAATATAATAAAGAAAGAACATAAGTTTCCATAACTCATGGATATCAATAAATAAACAAGAACATGGTTCAGAAAGGAGCATATCTCGACACCAAGAACATGGTTAAAAGGGGAAACATAGGATCCCGATTCATATACCGTTCATACACATCCAACTATTCAGCCTTAATATCATCTGGAGGGAAGAATTAGATGATAGCAGGACTAAGATGAAGAAGCAATCATGATAATTTTGTAGTGGAAGAGTTCCATATGCCGAACTTACATTACTTGGATGCAACTATTAAGGAGACAGTCATTCAAGATAGCCGACTAGATGGATACACCATTCCCAAGGGAGTTGCAGTAAATTAACATTTATGCAATCCACCAAGCACCATAGATCTGGCATAATTTTATGGGTTGAGACCTGGGAGGTTTCTGGAGGACGACCAAGACAAGGCAACTAAGTTCGATTACCTGGGAAACATGTACCACCTGTTCAGAACAGGGAGAAGGGTTTGTGCTTTGTGCAGGGCTTCCCATGGCAGAGAAGATGCTAAATGCAATTCTTGCATTGTTGCACCACTCATTCTATTGAAACTAGCATGCAGTACAGAGGTGGTGGATCCAACGCATAGGTTGGGCAATACAGAGAGCTATATTACTAGAACCAGTGAAAACAATAGCGTGTGGAGCTCATGTACATCCTACAACTTCTGCCTCTATTCCAGTAATATGTTGTTAATAAATCACAAGCTAAGACAAACAATGACACCTGCACAATAGAAGAGCACACCAAAACAATGACAAAACTCAAGCTATGTAACTTTTGCTGAAGAAGCTCAAGACACATAACAATGGAAATATATTCAGGACCTCACCTCCAGAACATATTTTCAAGGCATAGATGCAAAAGTCAAATATTGGCAGCATTTTCTTATGCCTGCAGAATGTGACCTGAAACCCTCAATTGATGTCAACCTAACAATGGAAAAGTTACATAAGTTTTCATAATTTTTTAATCAATGAAGACGCAATATGTTCTACTCAAGCATCTGTCAAAATCAAGAACATGGTAAAAAAGAGAAGACACTAGAATCTTGATTTAACATCTCTCGGCAGCCATAGTTCGAAAATCAACGACATTCACTCGTCGTTCATACACATCCAACAATTCAGCCCCATAATCTGGATATTTGACAGCAAACTTATCCTTAAACCGGTACTCTACAGGAGACAAGAAAACACTCAAGCTAGGAATATCTTCAATCAACCCTCTAAGCCGCAACAGTTGCACAACGGAACACCTAGGGACAACCCTCTTCTCAAAGCTTAAGCCGAAGATAACTGGGCACTTAGCAGCAGCCTTTGATTCCCAACCGAGTTTGTTCAAAAGGAAGTCCATTGTCTGCATGATCTTTTCCTCCGAAACACACATGCATTGTGGATACCTCTTGAAAGTCAACAAAGTCAAATCCTTTGACCACCCCCACCTCCCATACACCTCCAATCTTTTCTCCCAGCTTGATTTCTTCAAACAAGCAAGCGCTCTAATTGCACCAACAAAATTTCCCCTCAATGGTTCAAATCCTAATAGCATGGCAAGCTCAACGCTTTCAGCAAAATGAGAGTGGCCCTTGAAAGCCACACTAGGGAAGTTAAATACCAAGTTAGTTATGGACTTCTCGCCCACTCCAAGCTTCCTAAGAAATGCTAGGTTGGGAACAATGGTGGAATCTACACTGCCAACAAAGCTCCACAGTGAGCGATTCAGAACGCTCACAACTCTACTGTCTTGAAGCAGGACACCCTTCAGCACATTATACCGAGGAATCAGGCGTTTCTCTAAGCTCACATGCAACAGATGGGGATTGGAAGAGACAAACTTTGTAAGCTCGGGTCGAGCACTGCCAGTGGAATGAAGTAAGTCGAGCTTGGAACGAATGAAGTCGATCGTGGGACGAAGTATTCTCTCGGTGTCGAGCAGAAGCAGACTAGGGTAGTACTTGATGCATTTGGCGATTTGGGTTCTGGAGAATCCATGCCCTCTCACCAGATTAACAACTGCATCCGGTTTCTCTGCCGTTCGAAAATTCAAAAACTTGGATGTAAGTTTGGCGCTGTCGACCGAGAACCCGAGTGAGCTCGTTAGATAAGAGACTGGGAAGGAATGCCCATCTTCCCCTTCTTGAGTTGCAATCTGAGAAGTGAAACTTCTGATTCCATGTAGCAGAGAAATTCCACTGGGTTGGGCGGCCGGAGAACTCAATGCTATAGCGGTTCTCCTATATGGATTTGCACTAATTAGTATAAAAGCACCCATGGTATATGATCGGGAGCGCAGAAACAAACTAGAGCAACGAAGTTTCGCTTCTATGTGAATGAGTTGAGAAGAATATAGGAGAAATGAAATAGTATCAGCGAAGAACTGACCAAATAGGGTCGACTTTTCCTGAAGGGAGGATGGCGAAGGAGAAAGCCAAAGCTTCAATCGGCAGAGCTATGGCAGTATCGGCGGTCCCCGATAACCCGAGGAGAAGAAAGGAAGAGAGGGACAACACCCGGGAGGAGAATCGGCGGTACGGTTTTTCTCCACAACCTACGAGCCACATGACAAGAGAAAAAGAGATGTTCTAAAGTTTCTTCTCGTCGTCCACAAGCTGTACACACGGGGAGAAGAACCCGTTGTAGGCACTGCCAAAGGAAGAAAAGAAGTTTTGGAGGAAGTTTTCGTGTCCAAACCCATTTCCATAACACCGAATCAATGACTGATGCACCAGCTTTCCGTGGAACAGGTCGAAGATGAGAGAAAGCTAAATGATAAGCAGATTTCACTGAAAACAGACCATTAGCCTCATAATGCCAAATAATATCATCCACAAGACGTCGTTGAGGAAGCGGTAGCTGACGGATTATAGCCACTGAAGCATTATCAAAGAAACAGTTCAAAGCAGCCAAGTTCCATTGCTTGGATCCTGGATCAATAAAAGCTGAGACAAAAGGATGACTTGACAGCGCACCTGGCTTTAGAGATGGTCGTGAAGGGGGATTAGTAGGAAGCCAAGTATCCTCGAATGCTCTAATTGACTCACCATTCCCTACCTGCCACCGGATGCCTTGTCGAAGCAGATCTCTTCCAAATAAAATACTCCTTCATCCATAAGAAGGATTACTCCCAGGAGCAACAGAAAGGAACCTGTTAGAATCAAAGTTGTAACGCCCCCGGTAAATTCGAGCAATAAGAGTAGTTGGCTCCTTGAGAATCCGCCATGCTACTTTAGCTAACAAAGCTTGATTGAAACAACCAAATTCCCGGAAGCCCAAACCACCATCAAATTTACTCATACACAGATATTTCCAAGAACGCCAATGAATGCGACGATGTCCCTCTGTCGCCCCCCACCAAAATCTAGCCAAATGAGCATTCAACCGTCGAATCAACTCAAGAGGAAGCGAAAACAGGACATAACGTAAACAGTCAAGGCCATAGCAACCGATTTCAATAAGACCTCCTTTCCAGTCGAAGATAGACACCTGTTCTTCCAACCCGCTAAAACAGATAATAACTTTTCCCCTTTCCTTTTGCTTTCTACTATTTAGTATTTTCTTCTCCCCTCGCAAATTTCAAAAGACAGATGGGCCTATGGTGAGGCCTAATAAGGGCACGGGTCCGGCCCAAGTTTTACCGGTGGCCAAAATTCTAAGGGGTCGTTTGGAAGTTGTGATTTCAAATGGTGTATTGATCTAATTCATGTATTTGTGAGATTAAGTGGTTTTTTTTGTTTATATAGAACTAGAATACATGCATTTACTTTTTGGAAGCCCCACCACAATCATTCAATATTGAGGGATTTACAATCTCTACTTTTGGTTGACATTCTTCACAATCACTCAATACTAACTTTTTTACATTTGGAACAAAAACAAAATCTAAACCTCCAAACAAGATATTTACCTAATACATCAATTGATTCAATCCATCAAATGATAATACACTAATTGTCCCAATACATCAATTTAAAGAATCACAACTTCCAAACAACCCCTAAGTTTTCACGCATAGCTTCAGGTCCAATCTAATTGATCCATACAACAGAAAAATGCAGGTATTTTGATGGAAAGGGGTTTTATCTTTCTAATTGGCTCATGACAATGAAAGTTGATACTTGTTTGTTATGAGGACGAGGTAGATTGACTAATATTCGTTGGTAACATAAATTAGGATAAACTAGAATCAATGCCCGCGGCGGCTGCGCAACGTCGCGTGAACTTAATTTGCATTGACATATGATCGTATGGTGGTCAGTTTAGGTGATGGCAGTGAGAAGAAATGAATGACACAATTCCAATAACGACTCTAATAATTAACATAATGAATGAACGGCAAATCAAACATATTAATTGTTTTAAAATCCCAGCAATCACTTGTACACCGACTCGAGTTTTCCAACAAAGTCAGTGTAATTACTGTGACATTAATATATTTTGACTACTAATTGATTTTTGACGGGTTTGTTCAAAAGCAGGAAAAACAACATGTAAGATCATCTTCAGTAATCCATGTATCGTTTTAGTTGTCATGAAAGCAAACTAAATTACCATCTACTGAACTATACTCTTTCAAATTAGCTTAGCCCTTAGATCCTTCTGTTATTGTCCAAGGCATGACTTTATTACTGTTCAATTTTCAGCCTAGGAAAGTAAGTTGTTTCTATGCAAATCTCATAATGTCATAGTAGGAAGGAATGTGTTTCAGTACATCTTTTATGTGATTATAGAAAGTAAACTCAAGTTCAGATGGAAGTGCGTTGATTCTGTGAGAAACATATTGAACCCAAAAAAAAGGCTCAGCGGGCGATTAGAGGCCCCTAAACAAAACCATAAAATCAATCACTAAATAATCATAGACAAATATTAGTAGGGATTTGTCAGAAACCAATAGGTCTTACAACAAATGGCGGGATGGTTAAATCATTTTAGAAGATTGAGACCTGCACCACCATAGGATGACTGAAATCTCTGGCAAGTGCAACTTGATCTTCCCAGATGGTTCATGGGTCTCTAGATTTCGATCCACCACTGTTAAGGGAATCGCTGCCTTTTCTGTATGGGAGGTAAAGGACCTTGATCTTATGGGGCCAAAGAACCCTCAGTTGCACCTAACGAATAAGAAAAATCCAAGAAAACAAACCCTTATGACCATTAAAAAATTTGTTGGAACAATTATACCAGTAGTACCAAGCTTAGGCTACCTGAAACTAAACGATCTCAACACCAACCTAAACCGCCATGCGAGAGACCAGTTTCAGCTATCAACTGCTATTAGAAAGAACATAAACTGAGTTTGAGAGTGAAGGTGCTGGAAAAAACGATGGACAATGGAGATGGATGATCATAGCCTCAAACGATCTCAACCCCAACATAAACCACCATGGTCAGTGAGCTGTCTAGATTCCACTTCATGCATTAACACCAAGGGAAAAGCAGGAAAAGATCGAAATACTATGGAAAAGAAGTCAGAATAGAAAGAAAATAGGTCGATGAAGAGATACGCGGGGAGGCGGTGCCCAGAAGGAACTAATAGGAGAGATAATTCACCAATCGAGGGAAGGAAGGTGAGGACCGTACAAATCAAGGGAGGTAGCGTTATACCATCCCTAAAAGAAAACAAATCAATCATCCCACCCAGTTCAGAATTACCATAAAAGAATCGGAAGATAAAGCTTAATTACCATGGAAGTCTTGCAGTCCAGGAACAGAGAATTGGGTTGAGAGAAGTTGGAGACTGGTGATGGTGACCTTCTTCCTCCTCATCATGATGGGCTTGGAGCATGAAATTTGTTTTGTAGAAAACCATTCCATTGCAAGTGATGGACTAAAGAAAGAACAAAGAGGAACAAAGAGAATCGAGGTACAAAGCAGTCGCTGGAGATGGGAAGCAAGAGAATCGAGAACCATAAAAGGAACAAAGAGGAAGACAAACAGAGTAAGACCAAAGCATACCTATTGGTGGGCTTCTAAGTTCCTCCTTTGATTACCGCTTCATACTGGTCCTGCTCAGGTAGTTAAGAGATTGTTTTAGCCATTGTCATCCTTGTCGTTCAGGACTTCAGGCCACTGCAAACAGGAACCGGCCACCAACGCGACAAAACATTAGTAAAGCTTATCCAGTTGAGACAAAAAAAAAATTGATCAAGCTAGCTAGGTATTATACCCGAATTTCTGACCGACAGACCTCTCTTTGTCTCCCCTCGCCATTGAGTATTTGACGACCAACTGATCTCCGGTTGCGATTGAGAAATGATGGCCGGTAGAGGCGCTTCCTCGGTCGACAGGTTTCATGGCGCGTTGACTATCAATTGACAAAGCACATTCAAGCCAGAGCTTCCCCTTTTGCTGCCGACCCGGCTTTTCCCAATTGGATGTTGACATCATCGCCACATCTTCTTCCTCAGCATCTCAAAGCGAAGAAAAAAGGAAGCGAGAACTGTAGGTGGCCGCTGAATTTTTAGGAAATAGTTAAGAAAGGGATAAGAGGGGCAATGACTACCTATGTCTTGATGGTCCCAGATCAATGGTCTCCTCCCTCCATTCTCCCAACTAAATCTCTATCTGATGTGGGGGAGGAGAACACCCAAGGGGCTGCATCAGATGTGTAAAATGTTGGAACAGCAGCAAGCTAATTATTAAGCCATTGTGCTCTCTTTTCTGTCCATTGTACATTTCCCCCCTATTATTTTGGGCTGTCCATTCATTTGGTCTTTTCAACTCTTCTGCTTCCTTTTTGTTGGGGAAAATTTTCATTTTTTAGGTGTGGAAATGGGGAGCGTTGCAGCTGTAGTTTTGGTTGGGTGAAAGGGGAAGGTCATGAAAGAGTGTTTATTAGGGTGGGAGATTAGAGGAAGGGTAATAATAGGGCTATAGCAGAGGAATGTCAAAGAGGTATAATATTGGATTACCTCTGTCCATGCATGGGGCATCATAATCATCTTTGTTTCTCTACAAAAATATTTGTTCGTGTTATAGAATTAATGAAAGAAACGAATATTTATAATGTAAATCTAGTCCAAGTGAATCTTAGTACTACTTTTTTTATGTACATTTGGAAGTAAAAAGGACCAAAAAGTCATGGGAGAACGAAATGTAGAACTGATGGAGTGATGGTGCAAAGTTGAGAGATGGGTAGATGATTGTTGATTGGAAGAAAAATTGGGAGTGATGTGATTGGATAGGGAAGTGCATGGTTTGGCAGGAGAGGGAGCGGCAGAAAGAAATGGGGCAACCTTCCTATTTTTTTAGTTTTTTTTTTTTCCAGTTTTGGAGTCCTTCGATTCTCTTTAGTCTAGCAAGGGTTTGGGAAGGTGAGGAGCCCTTTCACTAAAGGACAAAAATTGAAATAGTAAAAGAGTGTTTTTGGACAAAAAAGTGTACCCACTAATTATATAGAATAGAATTCCCTCATGTTCCTTTTCTGCTCAACTACTGACTGTCTAAATTTGTATCGATTAACTGTTGTATCAAACATGCACTGCTTCCTATTTTTCATGAAGTGTTGTGTGAAAGAAACCTTACATCACAAATAAGAACAACGTTGAGGTAATCCTGCTATGGTATTGAAATGTACGTTGAAATTTGACAGGCTGCTCACACAGAATTCAATCAAACTTGAGCTCAACCACTATGATCTGCCAAGAACAAGAATAATCCAGTTAACTACGAAGCGTCCTCGACAACTTCGAGGACACATCCATGATTGAACGAACTGACGAAGCTGTGGAAGAAAATATATTCAGGAACTCATCCACCCACCAGAACATATTTTCACGGCATAGATACAAAAGCCAAAGATTGCCATCCCTGCACAGTTTAACCTGAAACCCTCCACGAATATCGAACCTAACAATGATAAGAATGCAACATGTTGTTCTCAAGCATCTGTCAAAATCAAGAACATGGTTGAAGAGGACCGACTAGGATCTTGCTTTAATCTCTTCAACAGCCATAGTCCGAAAATCAACGACCTTCACTCGGCCTTCATACACATCCAACAATTGACCCTTAATATCATCAGGATAGTTGGCAACAAAGTTAACCTTAAACCAGTCCTCTGCACGGTACAGGAAACAACCTAACCCAGGAATATCATCTATGAACCCTCTTAGCCGCAAGAGTTGCACAACCGAACACCTAGGAACAACCCTCTTCTCGAAGCTCGACCCGAAGATACTTGGCCACCTAGCAGCAGCCTCTGATTCCCAGCCGAGTTCGTTCACAAGGAACTCCATTATCTGCATGATCTTCTCCTCTGAAGCACACATGCATTGTGGGTACATCTTGAAAGCCGACAAGGTCAACTCTTTTGCCCACCCCCATCTCCCATAAACCTGTAATTTGTTCTCCCAACTTGTCTTCGTCATGCTTGAAATCGCTCTAATTGCAGCCACAAAGTTGAATGTCGATGGATGAAATCCGAAATGCATGGCAAGCTCAACAATCTCAGCAAAATTAGAGTGAGGCCTGAAAAGCACAGTAGGGGAGTGAGAGACCAGGTAAGTGATGCGATTCTCACCAACTCCAAGCTTCCTAAGAAGTGCTATGTTGGGCACTAAATTGGAATCTTTACTGCTAACAAAGCCCCCGTAATTGCGCTTCAGGACACTCGCAATTGTCCTGTCATCAACCAGGACATCCTTGAGAAGATTATAGCGAGGAATCAGGCATTTCTCTAAGCTCATAATCAGTAAATAAGGATTGGACGAGACGACCTTTATCAGCTCGGGGCGAGAAATCCCAACGGAGAGAAGGAAGTCGAGCTTGGGACGAAGTACTCTCTCTGGATGCAGCTCAAGTAGAACAGGGTAATATTTGATGCATCTGGCGATTTGGGTACCGGAGAATCCATGGCTTCTCAGCAGATCAACAACTGCATCTGGTTTCTCGGTCGTCCGAAATTTCAGGAACTTGGATGAAACTTTAGCTCTGTCTGGTGAGAACCCATGTGAGCTCATTAGATAAGAGGCTGGAAAGGAATGCCCATCTTCCCCTTCTTGAGGTGCAATCTGAGAAGTGAAGCTTCTGAATCCATGTAATGAATTTAGCACAGAAATCCCGGCGAGCTGCGCGGCCGGAGAGCTCAACGCTACAACGGTGCTCAGATTCGAAATTCTACTAATCAATCTAAAAGCGGCCATAGTAATTTGTATCGGGATCGTTCAAACAGAACTAGGGCAACGAAGTTCCGGTGCTATATGAAATACCTTTGAAAGAAAACTGGAGAAATGAAGAAATTCATATGCGAAGAACTGACCGCAGATGGTTGATTTTCAAGGACGGCCATGAAACCAAAGCTACAGTCTCTGCAACACTGTATGAATGGCAGGCTCCGCAGCCGGTAACCGGAGGAGAAGGAAGCAGGAGAAAGGAGGGGAATCGGCGGCCGAATGACACTGAAGCGCCAACTCGATTTTTGTTTTTAATTTTGTTCTCCAAATTACTTCTCTTTTCACCAGTTCAAAGCAGATGGGCTTATGGTAAGGGCCCAGAAGGTTAGGGCTTCACCTTAAAGTTATCAAGTACCCAAATTTTTAGTTTGGACTCTTAGCTTCAGGCCCAATCTCAATCAAACCTTTTGAACGACAGTATGTGGGGTTCTTTTAGTCAATGCAACTTTTTATTTAGGGTTCGTTGTTTTGCATTGAAATTTGAAAAGGCAGATGGAACAGTCAAAGGCGAAAACTTGTATCCAGTCGATTGGTTCAATTGGGTCCGATCAAAAGTCAAAACCTGTTAGGGGTGTCAGTTCGGGTCGGGTTCGGTTACCAAAACCTGAAAAAATCCGAAAACCCGAAACCGAAAAATCACTAAAACCGAACTCGAACCCGAACGCCTAAAAATACGGGCTGAGTTCTATTCATTGGAGGTTTTTAGCCGGAACCCGAAAAACCGATAAGCAAAACCGAACCCGAAACCGAAAACCCGAAACCCGAAACGAACCCGAAAAACCGAAAATGTATATAATCGGGTCGGTTTCGGGTAAACCCGAAAACCGAACCCGAATTGACACCCCTAAAACGTGTCCTCTAAACTATTGGATTACACTTCGGTTTCGGTTGGATTGTTCTGAAAAAAGTCATAACTGGATTACATCAGTTAAGATTGGGTGGTCTGACAAATCAAAACTGGGTTTAAGAATGTTGATAGATAATTTTATAATATATATATTTCTTTTGAAGAAATAATTTGGTAGTATATAAATGTAGATTAGTGAGATTGTTTTTAAATGTGTTAAATATATGCATAATCTATTTACTATTAGAGATTTTCTCACATATTATGTAAAATTGACTTGAATTGGCTAAACCCGAACCGAACATTAGACCTCAGCCCACTTGTCGAACCGGTTTGATGGCTTAATTAAGTTTGACAACCTTACTTCGATTGGTCCTTATCAGATCGCACCATACCAATAGACATTTGAACTAGATCATAACGAACCAAATATAATATGATCAAGTTCATGGTCCCATGAATTTTTATAAATATTGAACAAAAATGGAATGAATTGACAATATTGTTGGGTCCATAGTTGAGTGATGTTGGGCTTTAGGCCCAAAGAGAGTAAATCGGGCAAGGCCTAGCGGAGGATCCAAAGAGGGAGCGTACATAGGGAAAAGAGAGTAGCGGGCGTCTAGCCTAGGACGGGATAAAGAGTAGGCCGTCTGACGCGAAGTACCGTTGGTGGCAGAAAGAGAAGATCTTCCTATGATATTTGTCTCGAAGACTGCAGGACTGAACATTAATTGCACACCGTAGGCGGTCTAGATAAAGCAGGGCATGTCTAGGGCGCCTGACATGGCATTTAATGCCTCAAACTGCAACTTAACTGACTATAAATACCTTCATACCTGCATTGATGGTAACTCAACTACTTCCTCTCTCTCTAAACACGAACATAAATTCTCTATTCTCTCTAACTTAAGCATTGGAGAGTGTCCTGGGCGACCGCCCACGAACCCTTGTTTTGCTGGGATTAGGAGCCCAGTGAGCATACCTTGCTTGGCCTCTAGTTTTATTCTCTTGGATACGGCCCTGTTTACTTTCATTTCTGTTTCCTGTTTTTGAGAAAACAGATGTTGAAAACAGGTGAAAACGACATTTTTTCGTTTTCGAAAACAGTAGGAAGCTGCCACTTTCTGTTTTCAGAGTTGGAAACGAATAGAAAACAGAATGAAAAGTAAACATGTTTTCTCGTTTCGTTTGCCAAATTTATAACATGAAAACAGGAAACAGGAAACGAAAATGGAAGTGAACAGGGGTTTTTGCTTGCTTCTGGTATTTGCTACTTGTTACTGCAGTAGTGTCTATAAATCTGAGTGTTATCCTTTTGTTGATGAACTTCACAGCAGTAAGCCCATTGATATTGTTACAATCTTGCTGGTGATTTGATAATTTTGCTGCCAGTGTCAAAACATGGATATTCATGGGATAGCCACCTATTGTTGATTGTGTTGCAAGTGCCCAAATATAAAACTAATTTACTATATAATGTTTCATTTTTGCAGGCGAACGAGGATTGCAGCTGCGAATATACACACGTCCTGCTGCTCGCAGTGGCTTCCTAGGGAACAGAAAAAAAAACATGAATACCATGAAGCTGTCAAGAATCGTTATAAGCAAGGTGCCAGAACATAACAAATGAACAGTCACTCTATATCTATGTTTTCATTTTTACTGCAGGATGCTATTATCTGTGAAACAGAAACATCGATCCCCTTTCATTCCCTTTTCTGCAAAATCACTATAAACCAGATCTTGGGAACTAACAGTGACACATCCTCCAATGGCAGAAAATCGAACTCCGAGTACGCCCTCAGCCAAAACCCTATGTTCTACCAATCTCTTCCTCCATTGACGAACTTTACTCACTGGACAAACACTCCCAATGACCAATCCACCGTGTATAGCTCAATCCTCCGAACTCTGTCGATTACAGCTTCAAACCCTCAACATGAGAGCATTTTAGGAGGAATGAATGATTCAGCAGAACCCTCAAAATTGGATACTAAGAATTGCTTTTTTTTTTTTTTTTGAGAAAAATACTAAGAATTGCTGATGTGGATGCATCCACGTTCATGCATTTACTTGAAAAAGAAAGCAAAGGATAAATCACTAGCTAAGACAAGCAATGACAACTACATAAGAGAAGAGCACACCAAAAAAATGGCAAGAATGAAGCTAAATATAACATCAATGAAACTTCATTGAAACATTTGCATATGTAGAGGGAAAATGCAGAATCAGGAACTCAGCTCCACAACATCATGTTCAAGGCATAGATGCAAAAGCCACATATTGCCCGCATTTTCTTATGCTGAAACCTTCAATGATGGTCAACCTAACGGTGAAGAAGTTACATGAATGTTTGTTTCAATAAAGCTGCTGCAATATATGTTGTTCTCAAGCATCTGTCAAAATCAAAACCATGCTTAACAAGGAAGAACTAGGATCTTGCTTTGGCATCTTCAACAGCCATAGTTCGAAAATCAACGACATTCACTCGTCCTTCGTACACATCCAACAATTTAGCCTTAATATCATCGGGATATTTAGCCACAAATTTCTTCTTAAACCGGTCCTCTGCAGGGTTCAAGAAACCAGCCAACCAAGGAATATCATCTATCAACCCTTTCAACCACAAGAGTTGCACAACCGAACATCTAGGAACAATCCTCTTCTTGAAGCTTAAAGCAAAGATAGCTGGCGACCTAGCAGGTGCCTCTGATTCCCAACCCAGTTTGTTCACAATAAAGTCCATCGTCTGCATGATCTTCTCCTCCGAAGAACACATGCATTGTGGATATCTCTTGAAAGCCAACAAAGTCAAATCCTTCGACCACCCCCACCTCCCATACGTCTCTAATTTCTTCTCCCAGGTCGATTTCTTCACACTAGAAAACACCCTAACAGCAACCACAAAGTTTGCCTTCCATGGATCAAACCCGAACTGCTTGGCAGCTTCAACACTTTCGGCAAAATCAGAGTGAGGCTTGAAAGCCACATTAGGGAAACTCGACAGCAAGTAAGTTATGTAATTCTCACCAACCCCAAGCTTCCTGAGAAGTGCTATGTTGGGAACTATATTGGTATCAGTATTGAAAAAAAAGGACTTGTGAGAGCGCTTGAAGACATCCACCACTCTTAGGTCATCAACCAGGACATCCTTGAGCAAATTATACCGAGGAATCAGGCGATTCTCTAAGCTCATAATCAAAAATTGGGGATTGGAAGAGACCACCTCCGCAAGCTCGGCCTCCGGAATCCCAATGGATCGAAGGAAGTCGAGCTTGGGACCAAGTATTCTCTCGGGATCCAGCCCTAGTACACCAGGGTACCGCTTGATGCATTTGGCGATTTGGGTACCGGAGAATCCATGGCTCCTCAGCAGATTGGCAAATGAATCTGGTTTCTCGGCGGTCCGGAAGTTCATAAACCTAGATTTAGCTTTGGCGCTATCTACTGAGAACCCATGTGAGCTCATTAGATAAGAGACTATGAAGGAAGGCCCATCCTTTCCTTCCTGAGTTGCAATCTGAGAAGTGAAGCTTCTGATACCAAGTAATGAACTTGTGGCGGCCGGAGAACTCAACTGCATAACCCTAAGCCGATTTGAAACTCTACTAATCTGACTTGCGGCGCCCATCGTATCAGAGGGCGCAGCGAACCGAGCTAGGGCGTTGCGAACTTGCTGCACTATATGAAAGACTTGAGAAGCTTACCAGAGAAAAGAAAAGGTATCGGTGAAGAACTGACCGATGATGGTTGCTTCTTCATGAATGGAGAGAAGGCACTCGGGGCCTGGATGAAATGACATGCGACTTTACCTCTTTTAGGTTTATTTTGGGGGAATCAAATTTTGCATCCGCAGACCGCAATATTGAGAAAGTCGGGTATTTTTCAATGTTTTATAAAATGGTTTAATACATCTCCATAGCCATAACTTTCACGATTTTGACAATTATAGCCACTTTTCAAAAAATACACAAACATAGCCACAATTTTCAAACTACGTTGCCAACTTTAGCCATTTCCGTTACAAACTTTAACGTCGTTAAGTACACCGTCAGTTAAGTGGATGTTAAGTTGACGTGGATGCCACCGGAACGACACATCATCTCCAACTAGACACACGTGGATGCCACGTCGTATTTTAAATAATAAAAATAAAATTCAAAAATTAAATAAGTATTATTTCAATATTTTTTACTTTTCTTTAATATTTCCTTCTCTCTTTTAGATCTGAGGCACTAGGCCTTCATCTTCTCAAGCAAGGGCTCCGGACGGCGGGCACAGTGCCCTCCCCACAGCACCTCCCAAACCCAACCCACAGCCTTCCTTTTGCAATTCCTCTCCCAATTCACCCTCTCCTTCCCCTTCATATCCCATTACCTAAAGAACTATGTCGCTTCTTTACTCATTTTCACATAAAATGTAACAAAGTAGATCTGGAATTCTGGGTTTTTCGGGATGAAGCTTAAAATTAAGATCTGGGTTTTCTTTCATCAAGGCTCGAAAAGAAGAAACGATTTATAGCGGCCGGAGTTGGATGCAAACCTTCCGAGCTCCGCCAATGGAACCAGCGGGAGCAAGCTCTTGGCCCCCTCTTCTTCGCGTCGTCGGTCGAGGTCGATGTCGAGCTCCGCCAACATCAAGCAGATCTTGCATTTCGTTATCGTTCTAATTCCCTTTAGTCATGGTGGTCGGCGGGAAGGATGTTTCCTCGTCGAACCCGTAGGTGACGCTGACTAGCTGCTCGACGGCAGTGATGCCAGAGGTCACCACATCCTGGTTACTCACAAGTGAAGGGACCGACGAAAACGCGGGCGGGGTAGTGGTAATGGTCGGCGGGCAAAGTGGGCGGCGAACCTAGGTGTAGCTCGCTTTTTCGTTCCTCCTTCTCCACTGTGTTTGTCGATTGAAAGAGACAAGGGTCAGGGTCTGAAAATCAGAATTGGATTGGAGGATAGGCGGAGGATTTGGGGAATTTTTTCCCATGGTAGAGGGTTTTGCGAGAGATATGTCCTTTTTAAATTTTATTTTTTATTTTATTTATTCATTAATTATAAAAATATGGATGTTTTCCACCTGGCAAGGATGCAAAACAAAACACGCCACATCAACCGCTACTGTTAGTCTAGTCAGCGGGTTAAGTGAACCGTTAAAGAATTGGACGGAATTGGCTATATCTGTGTATTTTTCAAAAAATGGCTATAATTGTCAAAATCGTGAAAGTTATGGCTATGCAGGTGAATTAAGTCTTATAAAATCTATTGGGGATTTGGGGTCGATAAAATCTCAAAATAGGCAATTTAGTCATACAAAGATTGATGGCAAAATAACCATGAGCAACCAATTGAATTCAAATCGATTTTTCACGGAGAATTCAACCGATATTATTTTTAGATGTGTTTTCTCCGAACCTAACAAAATGGATAATGGGTTTGGTGCGGTTTTGATGATATTTCAAGTATTCGTACAGAACTCACCCGAATATATGTTATAACTATGTTCTAGACGATGTGACAAAGAAATATTGACATTTGAAGAAAATTTTTAGATTGTATAAAAGAACTTACACATGACTCTTCGGAGATGTTGCGAGTGGGTTTTCCCCGAATCGCATGTTGATTGGTTTTGGTAATGCCACATTGCATCCCCGCAAGATTTTGATTATGTGGATGGTTGCGATTTTAAAACCATGGTTCGGGAATGATATATATAAAAATCGATCCCACCCGAACTTGTTGTAGCTCTAGATTCACCAACGATTTTAATACATAATAGCCTATCATTAACTTTTTTTTATAGAAATCATTAAACTTTATGATATAATTTATGGTACCGTTTCACAATCATTCACATTTTAGCTCCAAAAGTTGATATTGATAGCAAAAACCTTTTCGAGTTTTCGTTAGTGGTATAAAAACTATAGTATAGATATATACTTGGTTTGAAAAAATTTCCCAAAAAATATTAAATCATATATAGATTTGTTTATCACACATAGTTCTTTTTGTTTATAAATTTTTTTACGGGTCGTTCGTATGCAGCATTTTGATGAGGTATTTTGGTTGAAATAGGTTTGGAATGAGTTATTTCAGTCAAAATAACTCGTTTGGTAAAAATAAAATGTTACGGGGTCGTTTGGATTGAGTATTTGACAAACTTGTTGTTTGGGGCCAATTACCAAACAAATACCACATAATATAAAACCTGTTATTTGGTATGTGATATTTGGTCTCAAACTTGTTATTTGGCAAATACCTGCCCCTCCAAGTATTTGGCAAACAACACTTTTTGTGTTATTTGGTCTCAAACCTGTTATTTGACAAAACACTACATACAAATAACACATCCCACTTTTTGTCAGCCAAACATGTTATTTGGGGTCAAATAACAGATTTTGTGTTATTTGACTCCAAATAACACCCCCAAATACTCGATCCAAACGACCCCGTAATGTGGTATTTTGTCCATGAGACAATTGATATAACTCATTGTGAGTTATTTGAAATACCTACCCACCTCCTAGTTATTTCAAATAACTCATCTTTCAACTTCTTTTTTTACTTCATCCCTTCTTTAAGTGGTGAAATACCACAATAGTTTTATGTTTTATCCAAACAAGACAATTAGACCAATTACCACGTTTCAAACTGAAATACCACACGTGTCACATAGCAAAATATTGCAACATTTTGATTCCAAATACCATAGAACCAAAATGATGCATCCAAACCACCCACCCGTTAAGATCAAAGTTAAAAAGTAAAAACCTATAAACTTATTAAAACAATTTATTGAACTTAGAAATATTTTGTTTCAGCTCTTGCATTAATCTACTAACTAAGATCATGGAAATAAAAGTGTGGTATGTTTATATGCTATACACATGATATTACATGATATTATTGCACTGGTAGAAATTCAGGAAGGATTGAGCCAACAAGTTTGTTTGAATTGAATGAGTTCAGTGGCCATCGGATTGGTAAAAGTCCAGGTATCTGAATATAGAGCAAACTTGAAGTTTTGAACACACCCAGTAACACTAAAGAGACAATTATACATTCTCTGCAGATCCAATCCACTCAGTCTCATTGATCAGCATCCAAAATAAGAAGACAGAAAAGAGATGGTAGAAGCTTGCACTTCTCGTCAGCAGCCTGGTACAGTTAGAGGACAAACCAAAACTGATCGCCACAAATGCCCTTGGAATTAAATTTTTCCTTTCATAAATTCACAAACACTACCAATCCAACCTATAACTCAAACCCGTGTCAAAAGGGTTGTTGTGTTCAGTTACTTAGCATGGTAAACACATCTCATTCCCATCTTTTCTGGAAAAGGAAATGCCTTCTGTTTTCATACATTAGTAATGCAGAAATTAAGTGTCACCTTTTGGGGTTGGTCTCTGTGGTTCGGACCCTTGGCCACGATTGTGATCCACCACTAGGTGCTGCTGCTGCAGCAGATTAATTGTTCTTCCTAGACCGATCAACCATTGCAGAACAAACACTTGCACAGGACTCATCTTCATCATAGCTCGCCCCAATTCCATCTAACAAATCGTTTACCTGCTTCCAACAACACCGCTCCACCAAAGAACAATTCTGGGAGGCCACCCGGAAAGTTTCAGCCAAGTCTGTCGCTTCATCTAGTCCTTCCTCCCTGCTCCATTCCAATGGTGGTGGCACAATTTGAGATGGAACCCTCGATGAATGTCAACCTAATAAAGACTGAGATGAAGTTTCATAACTTGCACATAAACTAAGAAACAATATGTTGTTCTCAAGCATCCTCGACACCAAGAACATGGTTAAGAAGGAAAAAGCTAGGATCTTGCTTTAACATCATCAACAGCCATAGTTCGAAAATCAACAACATTCACCCGTCCTTCGTACATATCCAACAATTCATCCTTAACATCTGGATATGCGACCACAAACTTATCCTTAAATCGATCCTCTGCAGGAGACAAGAAAAAACCCAACCCAGGAATATCATCTATCAACCCTCTCAACCGCAAGAGTTGCACAACTGAACACCTAGGAACAAGCCTCTTCTCGAAGCTCAAACCGAAGATGATAGGCCACCTAGCAGCAGCCTCTGATTCCCAACCGAGTTTGTTCACAAGGAAGTTCATTGTCTGCATGATCTTCTCCTCCGAAGCACACATGCATTGTGGATATCTCTTGAAAGCCAAGAATGTCAAATCCTTTGACCACCCCCACCTCCCATACACTTCCAATCTCTTCTCCAAGGTCGATTTCTTCACACATGAAAACACTCTAATCGCGCCCACAAAGTTCGACCTCGAGGGATCAAATCCAAACTGCTTAGCAAGGTCGACCCTTTCAGCAAAATCAGATTGACCCTTGAAAGCAACATTAGGGAAGGTAGTGAGCAAGTAAGTGATGTAATTCTCACCAACTCCAAGCTTCCTGAGAAGTGCAATGTTGGGAACTATATTGGAATCTTTACTGCCAACTAAGCACCTGTGAGAGCGCTTCAGTACGCTCACAACTCTATCGCCATCACCCATGACGTCCTTGAGCAGATTATAGCGAGGAATCAGGCGTTTCTCTAAGCTCATAATCAACAAATAGGGATTCGAGGCGACGACCTCTGTCAGCTCAGGGCGAGAAATCCCAACGGAGAGAAGGAACTCGAGCTTGGGACGAAGGATTCTCTCGGGATCCAGCACCAGCAGACGAGGGTATTGCTTGACGCATTTGGCGATTTGGGTTCCGGAGAATCCATGGCTGCTGAGCAGATTAACAACGGCATCTGGTTTCTCGGCCGTCCGAAAATTCAAGAACCTAGATGTAGACTTGGCCCGGTCTGCCGAGAATCCATGCGAGGTCATTAGATAAGAGAATGTGAAGGACGGCTCATCATCATCATCCCCTTGTCGAGTTGAAATCTGAGAAGTGAAACTTCTGATTCCAAGGAATGAACTTAGGGCGGCCGGAGAGCTCAACGGTATAAGTATAACCCTAAGCCGATTTGACATTCTGCTAATTTGAGTACAAGTACCCATCGGAATGCTCAGATGGTTGCGAGGACGGACTGACTGCAGATGGTTGCTTCTTCGTGAATGGGGGACACGTAAAACCAATGCTTTCAGTCGGCAGTCGGCAACGCTATGCGCCTGTGCGTTCTTGAAATGGGAGGGGGAAATGGAGGAGAAGGAAGTGCCGCTGGACGAGGAGGATGACTACGAAACGGGCTCTTTTTGGGCTGAAATAGGTATTGTTTATCATGGTCAATTTTTTGTTTATAACATTATAGCCTGAATTATACATCAAAGTAAAGAAATTGGCCAAACCCGAAAATTATCCGTTATCTTGAACGGTCAAACATGTTGACTAACGGTCAACGCGCCACGTCAACACCTTTCACTTAAAAAAATTTATATTTTCCACCTATTATTGTTTATTTTTTTCATTTCGAATAAAAAAATTGAAAAATGGCAGGGACCCGGGATTCAATTTTCATTATTCAATTTTTCTTTGATTCAAAATGAAAAAAGTAAATAGTAATAGATGGAAAATATAATAATTTTTTTTAAGTGAAAAATGATGACATGGAGCGTTGACCGTTCAAGATAACAGTCAATTTTCAGATTTGGCCAATTTCATTACTTTGGTGTATAGTTCAAGTCATGATACTATAGATAAAAAAATTGGCCAAATATTTTGATTCGACTTTCAGATTTGGCCAATTTCATTACTTTGGTGTATAGTTCAAGCCATGATACTATAGATCAAAAAAATTGGCCAAATATTTTGATTCGACGTATTCCAGAGGAAATTTGTTTTCTTCATGAAATTGGTGATTGTTCAATTCGGTTCATCGGTCGCAACTGTGATTGAGAGGCTCATTCTGTAGCCCGAAAAGCTCTGTTCTTATCACCCCGCCTCTTAATGGGGTTTGATTTCATTTCTTGGCTTCGTAGTCAATAGGGAACTTTACCCATTCCCTTTGTATCTTTGGTTCCGATTTCACCTTAGGTGTTGAGGAATCTAATGATAAAAAAAAAGTATGCAATATCATTTTCTAAACAGCCTGTAATTCGAAGATATGATTACAAATTACAAGGAAATCCATGTATAAAATCCATTTCAAATGCTACAGTGAATACATTTAGGAAGGATTGTTGGACCGCAAGTTATATAATGCATTTTAAGTAAAATGATGATATCAAAGAGCTAATGCAAAATCTACAGGTCATAAGGTCCAGAAAGAAGTTGGCCTTATGAGTAGGGGTGGGCATTGGTGCGACCCGCACCGCACCGCACCATGTTGATAAAAACCGCATCGCACCGCAAAGTAATTGGACCGCACCGCAAACAAGACCGTAAGTTAATTGGTACGGTCCAACCGATCCGCATTAGTTAGCGACTTGGTGCGGTTTGGACCGCAACCGCAAATAAAACCGCAAAATATATAATAGGTAGAGAGGCCTCCGGATTTGCGAGATATTACTACTACAGCTGTCAGGAATAATATTCATCAAATATGGAACATTTTGGGTATGGTAATTCTCTAAACCAAACATGGTAAAAATCTGCAGCAAATATGCTAATAGTTAAGAAACAACCCTCTCGTGATTCAAAATTCACTGTCTCTGGCCCAACAATTACTCTGTTTTTGTTTCTGATTCATAGCAAAGAAAATTCATTAATGGATACATCTTAAAATGGTTGCAAATAAATGGAAAACAAAATCAACTACTTCCAAGTCCAAACGAGTACCAAACATAAAAACACCACTTGACAATTAGCATGTAGCTTCTTCTTCTCCTTGAAGGCTTGAACATACCACCTGCGGCTGCAACCCAAAATGCAATCCACCTACAAAGGGGAAACAGAACTCAAGATCATATAACAACTTTGGTATCTTGCAGTTCCTGAGAAATGCAATCCACCTACAAAGGGGAAACAGAACTCAAGATCAGAAAACAACTTTGCTCAATTTGTTCTTGCAAAGAGAACAACTTTCCATGCTCCCAGTTCTGCATTGATTCACAATTTGTCAAAGACGATAAGTCTTAGAGGAATTGAGTCACTTGGTAATCCATTCACATGAAACATGAAGCTTACTAATCCCATAAAAGCACCAACTTATCTAAGAAAGACAGCAAGATAATTAGATTGTATCGTCCAATAGCACACCAACCAATCACGGTTGACAAGTCATGATATCAGATTTCGTACTTCCTTCAGAACCAAGGGTATCATTGAAATGAAAGACCTACAATCTGAACTCGAACTAACTATCATTCATCCAGTTTAATATACCATGCCCATCAATCAGAAACACTTGAAGTTAACAGCTTGCACGAAACCTAACAGTCTACAGACATCAGGCAAAGGAACATTCAGTTTCCAATAATGATATCGAATTTGAAAGAAAACAGTTAGAAACATGGATCTTTTAATTATCAACCAACTTGTTCCTGAAAGTTGTATGATACAAACAAAGTAAGCGAACATAGCTCATCAATTTCTGGATGAGAAAGAGTGTACTGAACTAACCCAAAAACAGGGATAAGGGAAAAAAGCCAAGTGGATTGATTGCCATTTGCCAGTGGCAGGCTTGAGAGAGAATCGAACAGAAGAATTCTACTAACCCATCAAAAGTCAGAAGAACCTTCTTTCTTTCTTTCTCTCATTTCTTTCTCTCTGGAGTAATTAACAAGTCACTAAACAGAGATATAAACAGAGAAGCTTCCCTTGACCATTCTGCCAGCCAGGCCCCCATTTAAGTTATTATGATCACTACCAACTTGAAGAAAACTTCCCCGCAACTGAGAAAATGTATCAGAGTACTAATGAAGGAAATAGCTCTGCAGATTATCATCTGGGTTTAACTGGTTTTTGATGTTTTAAGACTCTAATCAGAACAAAGTACCCTAGAGATAATATACGACTCTAATCAATCTACCATAGTATACCTAATATCTAGACTCTAATCAATCCACCAAGCCTAGTAGGAAACCCATGAAGGGGCAAAGGGTTCGGCGGGTCGGTCAGTGAGAGTGTGAGACCGATTAAGGAAATGAGGAGGGAGAAAGAGAGTACCAGAACGAGCAGTCGAGACTCTAGAGTAATCGTCGGCGCTGGCCCTCTCGAGAGGGAGGAATCGATCAGAAGTCGGGACGAATAGATCAGGTAGTCGAGACTTGAGAGGAATCGTCGGCGTCGGCGCTGGAGCTATCGCCTCTTGGTGGTGCGCGACGTCGTCGAGAGGCACGAATAGATCGGGAGTCGGGATGGAGGCGAGAACGGGTGTCGGGTAGGTAGTCGAGAGGGAGGAATCGTCGATGGCGCCGCCGACAAGGCCTGCTCTTGTGGTGAGGAAGCTGCAGCCGCCGGCGAGGCTTGCTCTTGTGGTGAGGAAGCCGCCGTCGCCGGGAAGAAGAAGAATAGTCGGGGTGTGTGGTAAACTGGTAAGGGTATGAATTGAGATTTGAGAATCTCTCGCTGAGCTGGGTAGGGATTTAGTGGTTTGCGGTTTTGAACCGCCACCGCGCAGTTTCGGTCAACCCGTACCACAAAACCGCAAACCGCTTAGGATTAGACCGCAAATAAAACCGCAATCTTAATGGTGCGGTTTGGATTGACCGCATAAGCGATTTGGAGCGGGCGGAGCGGTTTGGACCGCACCAATGCCCACCCCTACTTATGAGTCAACCTGACCAATAACAATTTGTCTAAACTTGGGATCAGCAAAAATCAAGAACATTGTCAAAGAGGAACAAATAGGATATTTGCATATTATCTTCAACAGCCATAGTCTGAAAAATCAATCACATTCACTCATCTTTCATACAAAACCAACAACTGAGCTTCGACATCATCCGAATATTTCGTCACGTCAAAAAACCATCCTCATACCTGTTCTCTCCTCTCGGTCTCAAAAGCTGCACGACGGAACACCTGCGAAGAATCCTCTTCTTGAAGCTTAAGAGCAAAGATCTTCGGCCACCTAGATGTAGATTTGGCCCTGTCTGCCGAGATCACATTTGCAGCGATTAGATAAGAGACAGGGAAGGATTGCCCCATCTTACCCTTGTTGAGGTTCACTTCCCAAGTAGCAGAGAGGTTCCACTGAGGTGGGCGGCTACATAACTCAATGCTATAGCAGTTCTCCGATATGAAATTCTACTACTAATTAGAATACAAGGGCGAATTGTAAATCATCCGGAGAGCAGAAACATGACTAGGGCAACAAAGTTCAGGTTCCATGCGAAATGATGTGGATGAGAATCGGAGAAATGGGAAAAAAAACATAGGTGAAGAACTGACCGAATATTGTTGATTTTCCACGAACGGAGGCTAGAGAAAACCAACGCTTCAGTCAGCAGCGATACAACGGGAGGAGAAGGAAGAAGTAAAGCAGGAGGAGGGCAAGGGAATCGATGGCCGGAGTACACTAAAGCACTTGTTCATCAATTTGCTTTTCTTTTATGTTGTACCAGATTCCAGACTTCGCATTTCTCCACTATCACTAGCAAATTCAGAGCAAACTCCAGATGGGGGGCATGTTGTCTGATTTCCAAGTGTAGCCAGGCTGAGAAACAACTTCAGGGTACTACCCTACAGTGCCGCCGCCTCCTACCAAGCGACACAATGCGACTCAACCTGTACATTATAGGGAAAGACCTCTCCTCCAGCTGTGGGGTTGGCCTTGCAGTAGTAGGATTCAACACCCGAGACCCATCCTCTGCCACTTCCTCAACAACAGGCTGCTCTACACTTAGTTTTGAGAACCCTTCATGGAGGGCCCTTGTCCAATTCGCGACCACAGGAAAATCCACCAGTGGGTGGTGTATCAGGCGCCGTGACGGTCTTATAGCGGCATCATCTGCGGCAGACATAGCCCGGGGAACGGGAGTTGATGGACACAGAATGTCATCGAGAAAAACATGCCTCATTCTGAGATATTCCCTTTTCCTGTGGGACCTGGCCCTCAATGCAGCTATCTTCTTCTCCTTGTGCTCGATGGCGGACAACTCCATTGAGAAATCCCCAAAATCATAAGCCGATGACGACGATCCCCCATCCTTCCTCGTTGCCGAGATGGTTGAGGATTCAGTAGGATTTACTATAGCAGGCGGCGCGATCACGGCAAGGGCGTTGGACAGATTTGAGAGGTCGTAGCATGACTCCACTCCATTGTTCTGCGTATCAACAACAGATGATGCTCCAGCTTTCCCACGATTCTTCTTCGACTCAGGCTTCATACTGGGACACCAATGAGAATTGCGGTGGAATCAAAAGCTTGACTCAGCTGCAAGCACAAAAATAGACAGATGAAATTGGTCATCAAGATTTTATATCAATCACTGAAAGAGATAACTAACTGATTCTTCCCTTCCTTAAACCTATTCTACTCCGATCCTCCGAAATAGTACCATAAGAACTCAATCTACAAATCCACTGGAGAAACAATACCGAACCAGAAACCCTAGAAACCGACTTCCTCCCCTTCCTTCCTTCCTCTACTACTTTATTCACGGGAACCGAAACTCAGTGAAGAATCTGACAGAGAAGAGGTCGATGATAAAGCTTACCGGAGTAGCTTGAGATGAGAGCTTGCATGCGATGGCGGAAGAGCGATGAGAAGACGTTTCACCAAAGGAATCGATGAGCGGCGGTGGGACTTGAGAGGCAGTTTATGCACAGATGTGAATCCGCTCTTTCGTAGAATTCCGGTTTATTTGATGGGAAGCCTTTTATTTTATATATAAGTACAGCTAGAGCCTAGACAATGAATTCTTTTTCCTTTCAGATATTCCCCAGAATGGGCATGTGAGTTGTGACGAAGCCCAAAATGAGCAACGGCCCAACCTTATGCCACGACCGTCTCCCCAAATTCTGTGTTTGGACACTTTTATTTCAGGCCCAATCGCCATCAGCTTAGAGGATTTGGAGTATAACTGGTTCTATTCCTCCAGAGATCGAGCTACAGGTCTGCAGATAGATTCTTAGAAATGAGTTGTGCATCGTGGAAAATGATTCACGAACTTGAATTGATACTTAGGATTAATTGCATTTTACACGAAAGTGATCGAAATCGATGGATCGCTAAGGGAAATCTCGGAGTCCAATGAACCTGTAGTCCGTGGAGGTTATATCACAATGCAACCCAGTGGCTGTGTGGAGCACAGAGCAGTCTGGTGCCAAGAACCGGCAGTAGTTTCAGGTTCTTGGTTTGGTTTCTGGGACCAGCTCATCACTTGTTCATTCAAACAAGTTGTTGTTGTTGTTTTCGCCACGTTTGTGTTGTATGCTCTATACTTCTCCCGTAGATGCTGCACTTTACTTTCACCTCTGCATTCCATAAATGCAGTGCCTGCAGCTGCTGTGCACTTATCTTTAGACCTTGCAGAGTTGCAGATTAGGTTCTTTGCCCTTGCACTCCACCAAGAGCCCATTCTCCAACATCAGCATTCGATATATGCTTGCATTTTAACTCACATGAAGCTATCATCGGTGGAAACAGTGACAACAGAGTGGACGATGGATGAGTTAATGAAACATCCTGAGGCGATCCATAAGATATAGGACTACGAGGAAGAAGCAGTAACAGTATCATCCAGGAACTCATTCTCCATAGCGTATTTTCAAGGAGAAGGGGAACGAGCCAAATATATTGCCTGCATGTTCTTATGCCTAGACAATGTCAACCTGACAAGCAAGAAATTTAGATAAGCTTAAAGATCAATAAAAACGCAAATACGTTGTTCTCGAGCATCTGTCAAAACCAAGCACATAGTTAATAAGGAGCAACTAGGATCTTGATTTGACATCTTCGACAGCCATAGTGCGAAAATCAACGACTTTCACTCGTCCTTCATACAGATCCAACAGTTCAGCCTGGATATCATCCGGATATTCGACCACAAACTTTTCCTTAAACCGATTCTCTGTAGGACACAAGAAAGTACCTAAGCAAGGCATATCATCTATCAACCCTCTCAGCCTCAAAAGCTGCAGGACGGAACACCTAGGAACAACCCTCTTCTCGAAGCTTAAACTGAAGATATTTGGGAACCTAGCAGCAGCCTCCGGTTCCCAACCGAGTTTGTTCACAAGGAAGTCCATTGTCTGCATGATCTTCTCGTCCGAATTGCACATACACTGAGGAAATATCTTGAAAGCCAACATAATCAAATCCTTTGACCACCCCCACCTCCCATACACCTGTAATCTCTTCTCCCAGCTCGATTTCTTCACACTGGAAAACACTCTAATTGCACTAACAAAGTTCCACTTCAGTGGATCGCATCCAAATTCCTTGGCGAGCTCAACTCTTTTGGCAAAATCAGAGTGAACCTTGAAAGCCACATGAGGGAAGTGGGACACTAAGTAAGCGATGGCATTCTTGCTCACTCCAAGATTCCTAAGAAGTGCTAGATTGCGAACAACGGTGTTCTGTATAGTGCCAACAAAGCACCTCTGAGAGCGCTTCAGGAATCTCACGACTTCATCGTCACGAGCCAGGACTTCCTTGAGGAAATTACACCGAGGAATCAGGCATTTCTCTAAGCTCATAATCAACAGATATGGATTTGAAGAGACGACCTTGTTGAGCTCGGGGGAAGGAATCCCAAGAGAGAGAAGAAAGTCAAGTTTGGGACGAAGTATCCTCTCCGGATGCAGCACAAGTACTCTGGGGAAGCCCTTAATGCATTTGGCGATTTGGGTACTAGAGAATCCATGACTTCTCAGCAGATTAACAACCGCATCAGGTTTCTCCGCCGTCTGGAAATTCAAATACCTGGATGAATATTTGGCGCCGTCTGCTGAGAACCCAAGTGAGTTCATTAGATAAGACACCGGGAAGGAAGGCCCATCTTTCTCTTCTTGAGGTGCAATCTGGGAAGTGAAACTTCTTATCCGAAGTAGCTGAGAAGTTACGCTGACTTGGGCAGCCGGAGAACTCAATGCTATAATGGTTCTCCGATATGAAATTATACTAATTAGTCTAAATGCACCCATCTTGTACTATCGAGAGTGCGGAAACAGGACTAGGGCACCGAAATGTCGATGCTGTGCTATATGAATGACTTGGGAGGAATGTTAGAGAAATGAATGAGTATCTGCGAAGAACTGACCGGAGACGGTTAATATTAGCTTCAATCAGCAGCGGTAAACGAGGAGCGGCATCCGCCACCGATAACCGGCGGAGAAGGACGAACGAAAACCTGGAGGCGAGGGGAAATCGGCGGCGGCTCTGGTTGAATCATGGATGACACTGAAACTGAAATGAACACCAATTTTACCTCTCATTGCACATATTCTTCACAGGCCAATATTTCCAGGCCCAAGATGAGCTACGGCCCAACCCTGACACTTACTGGAATCCGCAATCCAGATCCAACCCGGAAGATTCAAACTCGGATTTTATCCGAACCCGACCCAGAACTCATTGGCATATGGATTTTGCCGGATTTGACCAGGATGGTTTTCTACTAGTTAATTTTGGTTGAAGAACTAATCATTTGGATGAAGAAACTTCATCTTCTCCCCTTTGTTCTTTTCTCTCTTCATCTTCTCCCCTTCCAATTTCCCCATCGCCGGAGCAATTCTCCTCTTTCATTTCTCCGATCAGTCATGATGTCTGCCTGTCATCTGTCACCGAGTGCATCACTTTCCTGCTCCCTTTTCTAACTCTCTTCTCTTTCTCTCTCTGTTTTTCCCGTGCTTATTTGATCGTTCCTTCAGCTCCATGGATATATGTTTACTGTTAATGTGATTTTGATTTTCCCCTTTTCATCTAAGCTTCTGGTTTTTCCTTGGTGGCGATGAAAGTGATTGATGGGGCTGCTCGTGGCCTAGGGTTTATTGGTCGATAGTCAATTCGGTTGTCCTTTTCCGAGTTAATATTTCTTCCATTTTTCATTTGAGCATATTCTGTTTGCTGAAGTTAATAGAGTTTATTGGGGATCTGTCTTCTAAGATCAAGGATTCGCCTCAGTGGCGATTGCTTCTATTACCCTGATGGCAAATTGAGTTTATTGTGTGCAGATTGAACAGATTGTTTTCGCACCTGAAAAGGTGAGTAAACATAATAAGAACGACATTTCTTGTCGATACGGCCTGTGGCCGGTGATTCTGATCCTTCTTTGATCGGATAAGCTTCCCTTTTTGAAGCTATACTACTCTGGAGAGTGGTTTGAATACAAGTTTATCTTGTCATCTTCCCCTGCTTACATAGCTTGGGTTCGAAATAGTGCAAATTGGAACTTTAAGAGGGAAATTCACATTCCTGCTCTTGACAATCTGCCGAAGGGAAGGAATATGGAAAATGATGGATTAAGCTAACTTGGTCTCCTCTGCGGTTGTTCGAACAATTGACGGGGAACCCCAATTCCGGCGGCCACGGCGACGACAAGTTTTGCTCTCCGATGAACCGTTACAAGTGATTAATTGCGGGATGATCTGCCATTATTTGGTGTTTAAAGGCATTTATATATCCTAAATAAATTAAAAACATTATTAAATTTTGTAATTATACTAATGAGTCCTTTAGTGAGCCATTATTCACGTTCATGACACTTAATTCGGAGAGGGAGGACTTTCCGAGTTTCTCTAGTGAAGATGTATATTCACCGGGTGATTTTTGCTGATCCTCATTCATGAGTTTATTTACAATTAATCATGTCCTTGTCGCTAAAAACAGTAGGCCTCCCTTACTGGCAATTGGCCTCGTCGACAGGAAGTTTTCGATGAGACGATACAAATGAGTCATTAAAGCGACCTCTTTATGACACTACGACTTTAAATAGTCGGTTTAAATTCTCATTTTGGGATGAAAAAATATCTCATTATAATGCTTTACAATCATTAATGGTCGGTTTACATCTCATGTTTTAGATGAAATGAATACTAAAATGTCATAATGTCATGGATCAAATTCAATGTGGGAGAGGAGTTTAAGAAGCCAATTATTAAGCTTGTAACCTATTTTCCCATTAATGACGTCCTAAGCCTAAGCATGGTGAACAAAAGGAACATTGAAGCGTCTTTTGAGTGGCCTGTAGGGTTTTTAATAGCCTCCCCAGTTTTGGGATGAGAGGAATATTAACAACCTATTTCTAGTGAGCTCTTAAATGATAAATCCCAGCTCGCTGAAGCTTGTGGGACAGAGCTCGCAGCTAATAAAACCTCGGCCCCGACTGTGAATTTCAGTCTCTGGTGGCGACATGTTATGCTTTCTGAGCACCCCCAAACCCACGTTCTCCTATACGTTTGCGTATTGTGGAGAATCTGGAAGTCTCGAAATAAGGTGGTTTTTAGCATTATCAGCCTCATGCCCAGTCTCTAGCTCGTCAATGCTTTTTCCAAGTCTGTGTAGTCTCTTCCTCTCACCCTCCGGTACCCCGTCCCTCCCCTTCAGCCCTCAAGCTCCCGCCTCACCTCCTGGATCCCTCCTCCTGTTGGCTATCTGAATATCTCTTTGGTGCTGCAGTTCGTGCTTCCGGTTGCTCGTCTGGACTAGTGGTTCGTGGAACAGATGGACATTTGGCGTTGGCAGTAGGGTTCCAGCACCCAGGCATTGTTGACCCCTACCTCGCAGAACTTCTTGCTGCTCGAGACGCTATCTCCCTATTGGTCTCCAAGTCCCTTGTGTCTTCATCGAAGGTGACTCGGAAGTGGTGATTCGTCAGCTTCGCCAGGGCAGTTCTTCAGGTTCCCTCGGAGGTCCGGTGCTACGTGATTGCTTCCGGCTCCTATCTTCAGTTTCTGTTTCCTTAGAGTTTAGGGCAGTTCCTAGAACTACTTACGGGGCTGCCCATAGAGTGGCGCAGTAAGCCCTGTTTCTTCTCCTCTTGAGATTGGTTCCTTCGTATTTGTAGGGTGGCTTCGCTGATGTATTGGTTTGGGAGGGTTTTGGGGTAGATTGTATAGTTTTCTCTCTCTCTCTTGACATTTCTTGGAAAAAAAAAATTGGGTTAATTGCAAGGTTGGTCACTGGGTTTACTAAAAACGTTCATGTTTGGTCACTGCAAATATTTAATTTCATTCATGGTCACTAAGATTAGTTCAATAGTTCAAGTTTGGTCACTCTCCGTTAAACTCCGTTAGTTTTTGCTGATGTGGCAGTCAACTATTATAGTTGACCGTTAAATGAGTGACGTGGCCTATAAAAAATATTAAAATATTAAAATTTAAACATTTATAATTTCCACCTCATTTTACAACTATTAAAATATAAAAATGAAACTTAATAGATGGCTACGCCACCACTATTCTGATCCATGGTGCCGAATCTCCCCGGCTTTGGCGATCTTGAGGCGGTTCTCGGGCTTGTTCTTGGCGAGCAGCCTAATCTCCATGGTGGCCTGCTTCTGCTCGTCAATGGCGCAGGAGTCGAGGCTGGAGACGAGGTGGAGCATGAGGTCGTCGGAAACAACACCCCGACGTAAGCACAAACACCGTATCATCACCGCCCAACGAATTCACTTCAACCCATTCCCCCATCTCCTCATCCAATTTGTACACCCTGAAATCCACCGCTCTAGGGTGCCATCACCTGCCTCTCCCCGTACCCACAAAGCGGCGGATTGGGTGAAAGCTGCTGGCAATGGCATCCTCCACATCCTTCCGATTCCTCCTCCTCCCATCCAAATATCTATCCACCAAATACAAATCTCCCCCGGACTCCACCAGATTCTTCTGGCCGGAGCCGCCGCCGTCGGGGAGCTGCGGCGCTGAGCAGGGTTCCACGAATTTCAGAGACGAATCGATCACATACAGTTTCCCAAATCTGTCGACGACGTGATACCGACCTCGGTGGATGATTATGTCGTCGCAATCGAAATTCCTGTCGTCTAACGGAGTCCAATCCTCTTCCCCGTTTCTCCAATACCCTATTCTGCCTTTATGGAAAATGGCTATGACGGTGACACTCTGCTGTTGAGGCAGGGGATTTGCAGAGTGGGGAAAGACGACGACTTTATTCACCTCGAAGGCTGTGAATCCATCCCGACATGTGAGGCGGAACGAGGAGCTCAATTGGACACCGCGGAAGCCGGCCAAGCTCAATTGGGTTGGAGAGTAGCGGAGCTTGAGGTTGGAAATTGGGTCCACAAGCTGTAGCTTGCCGTGGCTTGCTTCTTCGATTTTGACCGGCCAACCGCCGGCGACGGCGAAGGTCGAATCGCCATTGGGGATCGGAGGAGGGTGAAACTCCACGAAGCACATAGTGGAGGGAATGAGGACGCCGTCGACTTCGCCGGGGTAAGGTAGCCGGACTTCAATGGGCGGAATTGGATGGTGGAAGTCAGGGGTACGGACGGCGGAGCGCCAGGAACGGCTGTGAATTTGCAAGAGATTTGGGAAGAGGAAGCTCAGTCTTAGCTGCTCAGTCCTCTGTTCCTTTTATAGCAACCAAATCAAATTAACAGTTGCTTTTACACTTGTCTACTTTCTACTGGTCTATTAAGAAGCTAACAGTGCTTCTCTAACGGCTAACAACAATAAACAAAACGATAACGTTTTCCTCAATAAGGATAAATAGAAATAGAGATACGACGACGTTTTCTTCTACTTCTCTTCTTCCTGCTGCAATCCGCAAGCCTTCAGGATTCCTTCTTCTTCTGCAAACCCTTGCTTCACTTCTGTTCTTGTACCTTGACATCCCCCCTCAAGTTGGCGATTCAGTTCCACTCTTAATCCCCAACTTGACCAGTAACTCAGCAATTCTAAACCTGTCCAAACCCTTAGTGAACAAATCTGCCAATTGGTTTACAGTTCCCACATGTTGAAGCTTGATCAGTCCACTCTTAATCCTTTCTCTTGTGACATGCATATCTATCTCTATATGCTTAGTCCTTTCATGGAAGACAGGGTTTTCAGCAATGTGTATTGCTGATCTGTTGTCACAATAGATTGGTATAGGAAGGGGTACCTGAACTGTTAACTCAGCAAGTAATCTTCTCAGCCACTGAACTTCACAGACTAAGTGTGCTAGAGCTCTGTACTCTGCCTCTGAAGATGATCTGGACACTGTTGTCTGCTTCTTTGTCTTCCAAGTGAGAAGTGATGATCCTAGGAATGTACAATAGCCTGTCACAGACCTTCTGGTGTCAGGGCAGCTTGCCCAGTCAGAATCACTATAGCCAATAAGCTTCAAATCTGCTGTGCTGCTAAAGTGTATTCCCTGCCCTGGTGAGGTCTTCAGGTACCTCAGGACCCTGTATGTTGCTTGCATATGTTCTTGACAAGGGTTCTTCTGATACTGGCATAGCTGCTGTACTGGGAATGCCACATCTGGCCTTGTGATTGTCAGATAATGCAATCTCCCAATTAATCTCCTGTATCCTTCTCCATCTTCTAACAAAGTTCCTTTTGCAGTCAACTTTACCTTACAATCCATAGGAGACTTGCATCCTTTGGCTTCAAGGTAACCTGTGTCCTTCAACAAATCAGTACAATATTTCCTCTGGCATACACTTATGCCTGCATCATTTCTGGTAATTTCCAACCCCAAAAAGTACTTCAATGGTCCAAGCATCTTCAACTTGAATTCCTTACTTAGAGCTGTTTTTACCTGATTTATGTCCTTCTGAGCATCACCACCAATGATGATGTCATCTACATACACCAGAAGCACCACAACCTTGCCATGGACCCATTTTGTAAAGAGTGAGTAGTCTGAAGCAGATTGAGCAAAGCCAAGCTTCATCAGGTAACCTGTCAGCTTTGCAAACCACTGCCTGGATGCTTGTTTAAGCCCATAAAGAGACTTCTTCAATCTGCAAACCATAGTTTGACCATTAGACTCTGGCACTTTCACCCCCAGTGGTATCTTCATATACACCTCTTCTTCCAGGTCTCCATGTAAGAAGGCGTTTGATACATCTAGTTGTTCTAGGATCCAATTCTTCACACTAGCAATTGCCAGAAGTGCTTTGACTGAATTGATTTTGGCCACTGGAGAGTATGTGTCTAGAAAATCAATTCCATACACCTGTGTGAAGCCTTTTGCCACCAACCTGGCCTTTTCCCTTTCTAGGGTACCATCCTGCTTCAGTTTGAGCTTGAATACCCACTTGTTGCCTATTGGCTTCTTTCCCTTTGGGAGTGGAACTATGTCCCATGTCTGATTCTCTTCAAGTGAATATATCTCACTATTGATAGCCCTGTTCCATTCATCAATCTTGATGGCTTCATAATAAGAGGATGGTTCAAACATTGTCATTACATTCATTGCATAGGTCCTGTCTGATGGAGTCAATTGATCCATATTGAGACAGACTGGATACCTAGAGCAAGAATTAGATTTCTTGAAATTACCAACCTGCTCATCAAGGTAGTAGTCATTGTACTTTGCTGGAAGTTTTCCTTTCCTTTTTGCCATTGTATCCTGAGCTGTAACTTCTGCATCAGCATCAAGATCTTGCTGAGGCATTAGTTCATAGTCATCAGACTCAAAATACTCATACTGATGATGATGAATGGAACTGGAATTGTTGCTGTTGTCATTTGTTTCACTGCCATTGCTACTTGTCTCACCTGTTTCAGGACTCAATGCAGTAGGATACCCCCCATCACCCTTGGATGAAACATACTGAGGGTGATCTGGTGAAACAGGTGGCATGGAAATAGGAGGAGAAGAGTGAGTAGGAGGATACACAGGTATCACAGAAGGAGATGGGGAAGCAAGATCATCTTCTGTATCACCAGTGGAGGATTTAAAAGGCAGTATGTCCTCATAGAATGTAACATTGCGAGACACAAATACTGTGTAATCCTGTATGTCCAACAATTTGTAACCCTTTACACCTGGTGGTAAACCTAAAAAGATGCACTGTTTGGCTCTGGGTGCAAACTTAGTTCTGCTTTGTAATAGGGTACTAGCATAACATAAGCTGCCAAACACTTTCAGGTTACCTAAGTATGGTGTCTGTTTGTAAAGAACTTCATAAGGGGATTTATTGTTCAGGATTGGTGTTGGCATTCTATTGATGATATACACTGCATGTAAAATGCAGTCACTCCAAAACTCCAAAGGTATACCAGATTGGAACCTCAAGCATCTAGCAACATTGAGTATGTGCTAGTGCTTTCTTTCCACCCTTCCATTCTGTTCTGGTGTTTCTACACAAGAAACCTGGTGTTCTATACCTTCCATTCGATAAAACTCACTCATATCAAACTCTTTCCCTCCATCACTTCTGATAATCTTCACTGTTGTGTTAAACTGGTTTTTAACCAGATTACAGAAACCCTGCAACAGACCTCTTGTCTCACTCTTATGGCGCATTAGATAAACCCAAACAGCACGTGAACAATCATCAACAATTGTAAGGAAGTAACTGTAATTATCATAAGAAACAGTAGAAAGAGGTCCCCAAATATCCACATGGATAAGCTGAAACACATCTGAAACAAAGCTGGTGCTAACAGGAAAGGGAAGTTTCTTATGTTTAGCATAATGACAGGTCTCACAATGTTGAATCCTATGGCTAGTTACAACTGGATTGTTTTGATGTAATAAAGATAATCTATCATGGCTAGGATGGCCTAATCTCCAGTGCCATAGATCAAGGTCTTGTGGTTGAAAGTTGTAGGTAAAAGCTGCTTGGTGTTTATGTGAAGGCTGCAAAGTCTTGGTCTGGTTTGAAGAAAAGGTCTTGGTCTGGCTTCTTGTGAAGGTAAGTTGGTATAGTCCCCTAGACTCTTTTGCTAAGCCAATCCTCTTCATGCTTAACAGGTCCTGAATTTCACAATGATCAGATTGGAAGTGTAAGGATAAGGGAAAGTATTTGGTTAACTTACTCACTGAAATGAGATTAAAAGTAAAGCTAGGTACTAGTAGAACATCATATAAGAATAGTCCTTATGGTAGTTTGACTGTTCCCATATGTGAGACTAACACTTTTGTACTGTTTGGTAGATAAACAAAAGTGTCAGCAACAATTCTACTTTCACAGAAAAGGGTTTTGGAACAAGCTATATGATCTGAGGCTCCAGTATCTAAAATCCACAGATCTATGGGTGCTATGTTGGTTTGTTGAAATGAAGAAAGGATGTATTTACCTGAATGATTAGGGAAAGGGCTTAGGAATTGAGAAACTGAAAAAGCTTGGTGGTTGATGGATGGGGAATTTGGTGGAGAGGGTGAGCCAGCACCAGCTTGTAACAGATACCTGAGTTTGTTCATCTCTTCAGCTGTGAATCCAAGAGATACCTGAGTTCCACTCCCTTCTGCTGAAGAACCTCCTTCTGAATGGGCATCTGATACTCCAGACTGGTTAACTGATCCAGCAAATCTAGGTGTCCCAGAACTGGAATTGGATCCTGAACTTGTTCCATCCTTTTGGTCCCCTTGTTTCTTCTTCAACTTCCAGCAGTCCTCAATATTATGATTCCTCATTTTGCAGAATCTGCAAAACTTTCTTCCCTGTCTTCCTTCATTAACATCTCTTCCTTGCTCTCCTTCAACTGCTAGTGCCATTGTCTGTGATTTCTTCCCCCCAGACACATTATCACCCTTCAATTTCTGCTCATGTTGCAGCAAATCATCCACAGCAGTAGACACAGTAGGCAGCGGTTTTTGCATCAGCAGCTGTGTCTTGACAATGTCATAAGCTGGGTTCAATCCCCTCAAAAACTTGATCAGATAGTCTGTTTCCTGCTTCTGAATGAAAGCAGCTACAGCAGCACAAGGTATGGGGTTTCCAGGTGCACAGACACAAGGAACAATTGGGTTAAACTCGACATACTCATCCCATAACCCTTTAACCTTAGTGTAGTACTGACTGATGGTTTGTGAACCCTGCTTGCAGTCACCTATCTCATCTTCCAAGTTCATGATACGAAGGGCATTTGGTATTCCATACCTCCTCTTAAGTTCATCCCACAGTGCCTTGGCATTACTGTGTGTAAGCACAGATCTCCTGATATCCTTAGCAACAGAATTCTGAATCCAACACAGCACTAGTGTATTACAAGCATCCCACAAGGCAAAGCGATCTGAATCTCTAGGAGGCATGGGTATAGTTCCATCTATAAAACCCATCTTATGTTTTGTTTTCAAAACCATTTGCATAGATCTACTCCACATGGAGTAGTTAGACCCATCAAACAACTCAGAGATTAATGAGATCGCCATATTTTCGTTCGGGTTGAGATAGAATGGGTTATCGAACACAATCGTCTCATTCTGAAGGTTCTCCTGGTTGAATGACCCAAATTGAACTCCTGCTGCAGTCCCAATTGCTCCAGTGGTCTGTGTCGACCTTTGCCCTGAACGTGGTGAACTTTGTCCAGACATGGCGGCGTCGTCGGCACAAAAGAAACCCTAG